AATATCTCTCAAACCACATGATGATTTTAAACGAAATTTTGCAAAGATGATATAACTTGTATAATCTATTATTCGTGCCAATATAACATCATGACAACAAGTATATTAAAAGCTATCGTTAAACATCTAACAAGTTTTCTTTTAATGGACATATCAATATCAAGCAATATGAATGATCTTATTTAATCAAAGAACACGAAATCTAGCCTTACGGCTTTGATACCCATGTTAGATTTTAGAGAATAACCAATGAATCAGAAATGCGGAATTAGAATATTACCGATTTGAAACGTTGCAGGATCTTTATCGTCGCCGGCCAGATTCACGCACTCTATGATAATCACTGTCGAACTTTTGTTTATAGTAACGAAACGAAACTACAGTTCACAACTCAAATACCTCTCTAACTCTCTAGTTTTTGATGGCTATTATCTCACAAGTATTTTTTTAATTCTTGGATTACTGTTTACCAGAGAGAGGGAGACTATTGTAGGCTTTAATTTGGGCACGATTAGTTGCGATAACTACCCATGATGGAGATATTATGCGGTTATGGGTATAACCATACTTCTCCACTTCCTACACCTATTTTAAAATATGAAGATATTTCAATAATTCGAGCACATCTCTACAAAATCATACTCCCTTTAAAAGTACGAGTTCGGAAAAATCTTTTTATGGTCAATATTACTCTTAACTTTTTTAAATATTACATTGTTATCCTAATCAATTCTAATTATCCTATCTTCTTTGAATTAGTAACTAAATGATTTTCATAATGAGACTTAACATATTATTAGATAAAGAAAATATGCTTGATATAATTCAAATTATTTTCTTATTTTAGCTCTCAGAGAAATCTAAAAAACATATACTAGCTAGCACCTAAAACTTTTTAGACTTTGTAAAAAAATCCTCTAAGTTTTTTATATTGCAAAAACACCCCTACAAATTTAAAATTTTATTAAAACATCTTAAAAATTATAAATTTTACTTATTTTAATTCAGTGAGAAATCTAAAAAACATATGCTAGCTAGAAACTAAAAGTTTTTTGACTTTGGAGAAAATAGCTTGTAAGTTTTAAAAATGATAAAAAACACCCCTAAAAATTCAAAACTTATAAAAAACACCTTGAAATTTTTAAACTTATAAACACACTAAAAACCTAAAAATAGTATAAACAGCCCCCGAAATTTTATGGAATTTACAATAAACACACTGAAGTTTTTACAAATTGTAAAATAAAACCCTTAAAATTTTAAAATTTATAAAAATGCTGATAATTTCTAACCTAATAGTACATTGAAAATATAGAAATTATAAATATCCCCTACATAATTTATAATTTATAGAAAACACCCTTAAAGTTTTAAAAATTACAAACAAAATCTTAAAATTCAAACTTTACAAATAGCACCTGAGAATTTCAAACTCATAATTAGTAAATTAAAAGCATATGAATTATAAATAGTCTATAAACAATTTACGATTAGTAGAAATGTTCTATAAGTTTAAAAAATTACAAAAAGTCCCTAAAATTCATAATTTATAAAAAATGTCATGCGAATTTCTAACCTATAGACACTAAAATGAATATACAAAATTACTAACAACCCCTAGAAAATTAAAATTTTACAAAAATACCACACTCGCTTTAAAAGTATAGGTTTAGGAAAAACCCTTTTATGGTCAATATTACCCATAACGTTTTTGAAAATAACATAAATGATTGAAAGTCTATTAAATTTAAAATTTGCAGAAAACACCTTAAAGTTTAGCACATTATAAATTACCCCTCCAAAGGTTAAAAATTTTCAATGGTTTTTTTGTAATTTCTTAATTTCAATGTAATGTCTAATAGTTTTGTGTATTTGTAAATTACAAAAATTTAAGGTGTTTTTTTAAAATTTTAAAAATTTTGAGGGTGTTTCTTTTGTAATTTTTAAATTTCAATTATGTTTTCAGTGCAATACATAAATACGTCAATTAATGATGTTATCGATGAGTAAGTCATTCTTAAGATTATTAGGCCATAGTTATGTGTACAACACATCACTGTTCCTAAGCAGTGTAATTTATATATGCAAAATTTTTTAGATAATCTATATAGTGGTTAAAAGGATTTTGACTCTAATGTACTATTTTTTATAAATTATATTTAATGTGAATCCACCATATAATTTTGATGGTGGTCATTATAATTATAATACGTTTGATTGATTGACTATATAGGTACATAGACCATAGATTACTTTACTTTCTCACATGAACTAATATTTGATGCTTAATAATTTAAATTGTTACTTTTAAATTTAATACAATTTTATTTCCTATTTTTTGCTTGAGATTTATTCCATTGTTACGGGTATCAAATTAGTAACTAAAATAATTATTATTTATGCTTAAATTAGGATGATTGGAGTTGGTCACTCACTATAGAATTTTTATGAAGATATATATCTTACTTTGTATAGCTATCTGCACCGCCCATATATATTTTATAAATTAGTTATTAATTTAACATATTAAATTATTTTTTCTTTGTAGAAATTTCTTCTTTGACTTTTGGATTGTGTAATCACTACATCATCATTGTAGCTTAGAAAGGATCTCATCTTAAATGACTTCAAGCAAATGTTTGAGTTGAACTGAAGTATATACTATTGCTATTATGTTTATATATTTTTTAAGAAAACCATGTCAACACTTTTTAAATATAAGAAAGTATTCTAACATTTGATATTATAAAAACTAAATATGGCCAATTGAGTGATTAACAAAAGAGAACTTACATAAAAAAAAGCGTGAATAATAAGATAAAGAGGAAAGGTAATGGCATTGCCAACAGTACTACAAATAGCAAACTACGATGTAAACTTAACCTATTTTGTGGAGCTCAACTATTGACTATAAGCATTGAGGTTTCCATATATATACTTTATACTTTATTAAAAATGATCATATAATCTTATATAATAAAATTGATTTAATACTAAATAGTAATATCGTTGTAATAATATCGTTATTAGGAAAAATTCTTCATGAACCAATATGTTCTTTACGACATATTAGCTATGCACTCCAAATTATTGTGTCTTTTATAGAGTCAAAAAGTTTGAATATGATCGAGCCTCTAACATATTGCTTTCACAACAGCAAAATCCACTTAGCAGATATGGATATTCCAGACGAGTTATACGTCCTATATACAATACAATTGTCCTAGGCAAGTGAGTTATAATAGCATTTTTCATTCACATCGTTTAGCGTAAGATTTGATAGGGACCTTGCATCAAAGAATTTTTTTTATATTTAGAGCACATAGCGAAATATATCATAATCTCCATGTTCTAATTTTGCAATAAAATTTAGAATGATCTATAAAATTAAATGAGAATATTAGATGATGTAAATATGAGTGAAACCGCAACTAAAAGTTAGTGTGAATACGAGTCAAACCACAACTAAAAGTTTAATGGATACATTGCAAGTAAATTCATATAAAAAATTCATTTACGAATTGAATGATCACCCATCTTTTGAAGACTTCAAGATACTAATAAACAAAAATGTTGTACTAGATTAATGTGTATAACTCACAAATAGTAGACCACGTGGCCACAATCTTGGTTGAAGAAAACAATGATGATATTTTAACCGAGAGAGATTATTGAGTTGATGATCAATCTCATAAAAAACTTTATTTTATTTTTATTTTTATTCTATTTTTATTAATTTAAATAATTATGATATTTAATCACATGCATTACACGTGTATCTCAACTAGTATGAAGAAGACTCCGACCATAGATAATTCATATGAGTTTGATGCTACATATTAAATCCAACCTTTTTATAAAGAAGAGAGAAAAGAAGAAGAGTTTTGATTTATATGTTCCTCGAATTATTTGCTATTTTCAATCCTCAAAAGATTTCCTATTTGTCAATTCACCCCTCATTGCTTTCTCCTCTTGCTTGTTTTTTTGGATTTGAAATTTTTTATATCATTTTATGAAATAGAAAATGAGGGTAAAATAGAGCTTATATTCTAATTATCTTATAAATCCTAGGCTCAGTTTGGCAAAAATAAAATTAGTTTTCTTCTAAGCTAGCTCAAAAGTAAATAAGGATGGGTTTAAGGCCAAAATTTTGCCTAGCAAAAGTAGTTCAAGTTTTAACCCATATTTTGCCAAATTAGGATAATAGTTTGGACCACGTTGGCTCCTCTTAGCTTTGTTTAATGGGTTTGCCAAACATTGTCTAACAAAATGTAAGTTGAGTGGTAAATAACAGGTTTGTGGCGATTTTGAGGGCATATTGACATATAAAAACCATTGGAGGGTGAATTTAAAAATAACCTTGATTTTTAGTGGTTAATTTCACAGAATTCCCCTTACTTTTAGCAGTTATCTCTCTAAACAAATTACCGTAAACTTTGGAATGTCTTATAGGGTACTCATGAAATTATTATTTTCCCGATGGACCTCCCGATATTTTAATAATATTGTAAACAGAAAACAAAACTTCTTTAAGATTAAGCTATCAACATCATTACAGGGTCAGTTCCGGAGTTTATTAGTTTAGGATTGTTGACAAGGAAAATCTTAAAATCCAGGGAGTATTTTATGACAAGAAAAGTTCGTTAGGTTTAAGTGCAAACCCTCAAAGGTTCAAGGGTTTTTCTGTGAATTTAACCCATTACTCCGGTTCCGGGTACGCATAAAATTAACGTCAAGGACAAAAATAGAGCTCATTTTAGGGGAACTACCGTAGTCGTGCTGATTCTCGAAATTTTTGATTCCACGAAGCGATCCATGGCTGATAACCTATTTCAAGGTCTGCCTCCTCCTTCGTCGACAACTCAACCTCCTCTTCAATCCTCAGCTCCTAACAATGACGACGATGCTCAACCCTCGACCTCGATCCCGATCCCGATCAAGACAGCC